CGATCTGACGATGTCTATTCGAGTGCTTTGAGCTCCTTATAGCCCCCTTCCGTTGGGAGAATTTCAAGTTCAGGATACTCAAGTCGCTTGTCAGCAAAGGCCACATGACCACTCAGAGATCTTCCTGCCTCGTCCAGAGGCCCTGATTTGGGAGGAAGCAGCTTCTCCAGCCCAGTTTTGACAGCTTTGCCAAGTTTTCCAGAGAAGGACCGAGAGCCGAGTTGCAAATCAGTCATGGTAGCTGCTGGGTCTTTGTCAGTGACCCATTCAATGCGTCCATCGCCAGTCGAAGCAACAATCGCAAAATCTCTGGACTTCATACCATCCGAGTACCCTGCTGCCGCGGTCCGTTCTTTTCGTGTTTGTGATGGCCATCTGGACCACGCTTCTGGTGGCGGTATACCCATGTTAGGGTTTTGGAGGACCCTCACTCCCCGATCCCCAGACTCATGATGGGGTCGGTATCTTTTTTGTTCATCATACATTACTCGTCTTGGAAGCTTGGTTCCCAGAGACATTGGCGACGCAGGTTGTTTCTGGCGATCAGGATCATCTTCTGCTGACAAGTGGTGTGGATTGGGAACAGTAGCGTCTGATGCGTTGGTCGACTCGAGTGATATGCTCCGCTGGACTCCCCTCCATCTTCCGACCTTGAGATTAACGCTGCTGTTGGAAGCTAACTTTTTCCGATCTTTCTTGACCGCTGCAGCCCTGACAGCTCCCTTGCGAGACTCTCGCTCCAGTTGAACAGCCCTCTGCCACAGGTCGGTAGTGCTCTCCTCTAGTGCTGGAGTCAAGTACATATTTGGCGCCAGATTCCGCGTGGTTGTTCCTTCGTGACCTTGTAAAGGCTGGTTTGGGGATCGCACGACCAATGTTTCGGCCGGTGCCTCACATCGCGGAGTCGCCTGAATGTCAGTCTTTGAACTTGATTTCGCCCGCTTTAGCACAGGCATATGAAGCTTTTGCAATAAAAACGACGAACGGGTGATGGCCACTGGCGGTCCAGTCTCTTCAAATTCTTCCTTGAACTTGCTGTGCTTGAGAGGGGGGCGCCCACGTTTTGAGAGCACATCACCGAAACGCTTCTCAATAGTCTGTAACTCAGCCTCTTGGTGTCGATAGCTCGATGTCTCTGACACTGTCAGTGAAGATCCCACATGCGCAGTCTGACGGCGTGAGCCCGTCGTTGTAGGGACTATCAGACTGAACCCGGACTCATCCCCGCCAAGCATGAGATTGTCAGAACCCTTCAAGAAACTATCTCCGTCTGTCCCAAGCCCTTCGATGGACGAGGTTAGCCACTGTATAACCCGGTCCATAGGTAGATGATTGGACACTCACATCGAAAGGGTGGCAGCTGAAGGCCATGTAAGCTTGTTGCTGCATTCCTGGTCTCGCTGCCGGTGCTTGATATCTCCGGTGTAGGCAGGCAGACGATCTCTTTCGACGGATAGCTTGTGTCGAATATGTTGGCGCCGACAGTAAGATTAACACACCTCACATCTCTTGCAATCGATGTTTCCTTGTTTGGCATTGAGTAATTGGCAGTGTCATCATCTTGGCATTGTTGCAGAGGCTGACACGTTTGCCCTTTTGTCAGTTCAGAGGATTCCAGAGATGGGCAATGACGCATGACTGCATCCTGTGGCAGCTTGGCGATGGTTTCCTCGATCTCAAACGCCAACTTCGACGGTGGTTCCAGAGCTCTTCCTGTGACATGTGCATGGTTTGACAGCCCTTGAGTCATCAGCCATGTACATAGAGCCGAATTGCCGTCTGGCGAATTGTCGACATGGTACGAACTGTGACAACGTGGGCTTCCGTGGACATCGGCCATCTGTTCAGGTCGGCCGGCATGTATGAGCAAACGGCATGGTTCCGACGACAGAGCATTTGGGGTGTCAAGATGCCCAACTGGGCGCATGCCAGGTGAGGGAGGAAGGTCAGGAAGTGAGGTCCGCTCTCGAAGAACAACCAGGGTGGCTAGACCCCCAGGTGTAGAAAACAAGGATGATTGCGGACAGCTACTCCGACGCCGACTGAGATCATACTCCATGTCGCGTCCATCTTTGTTAGGCTCCTCTACGACGTTGGACTGCTCGTCTGCTGCAGCTTTGCGAGCCTCGGCATCAGCCAAAGACGCATTCGCAATGGAAAACTCAAGGTGGTCACGGGGACCCGCCTCCAGGAAAGTCGATAGGAGTTGTAGAATATTTCACGCCAGAAGCGGACCCGGTACTCGGTTCAGGCTGCTCCTCTTCGCTCTTCAACTCGTCTTGGATTCTCTTGTGCATAATTCTCTTCAGTTCGGCTCGACGGGCCATTTCCTCTTCACTGGTACCGAGGCCTGATCGGGGTCCTGTTCTTGAGCTGTGCTGCGACTTGTTTCGATGGAATTTGGTGCGGACAAGTTCAAGTGGACTGTTGCTCTTTTTGCCACTCGTAGGGGCATCTACCGGGTCGACATCTGAATTCGAGTTTTCAACAACCAACTGACCAAGTTCGATAGACTCGTGGTTCGGCACCAGTGACGGGTTCGATGACGCTGCGCCCAGAGACCGCAGGGAAGCCGCAGTGCCTTGCTGAAGACTGGGTCGAATACGCGCAGTGTTGCCCGGCGTCCAAGACTCACACAGTCGGGTATCCGAGACGTTGATGGGCAGCGGAAGTACAGGAACAGGTATCGCATTCGGAAGCGGTGCATTGCTTGCCACATTTTCATCATCTCCTTGTCGCGTCCTGCAGCAGCAGAAAGCCGACATACTTACTTGAACCAATTTCTTTCAGTCGTCGGGCGGAAAACCGGGCTCCAGAGTCTTCCATAAGAACGTGTTGACGAGGATCCGAGGAAGAAGAATCGACCAACACAGCGAGTAGATCTTCCAAATGTTGACTTGTCCGTGGAAGAGATTGCCGAATGCCGTTTTTGGGCTAGAGGTCATTGGGCACAAGAGATGCAGCTCGCGATGCCATCCCCGTGTAGACGAACCTGGGTAAACGGAGGCAGAGCAGACTGTAGAGGAGGCATTTCGTGTGAAGGGCAAGTCCAAGACGATGAAGAGGTACAAAAAGGAAAGCAGCAGCGAGGAGGCGAGGCAGCGAGTACCCGGCAGCATGTCGCAGAACGGCCGGCCGTACGTCTTACATCCAATGTAGAGGCGCAACTGCCAGGTCTCGCACCGTGGTCTGTTCCTGCTCACGCACGACGAGCCTGAAATATCGCAAATCGGATACCGAGGTGTCCGTCATCGAGAGTCGTTGAGCTGCCTCGAATGACATTGCCCTCTTCGCGACCAGACTGTGAAAGGACCTTGCTCTTCCACATCAAGTCAGGTACTATCGACGCTCGCTGATGACTTTTCACCAAATATGTAGTTCACGTTGTCAACCAGGAGCATGGCTCGTCGATAGCTGAACGGCAGAAGCCGTGCCAATTCAGGACCTTGGGCAGATGGGGTAGGTACATTGCTTGAGGTCAAGGGCAAAAATGGACCTGGGCGCTCCTTCTTCGCAAGGTGGCTCACGAACTTGGCCATCATAAATGGAAATGAGCAGGAGCACCCAGCCAGCGATCGTTTTCTGTGTGCCCTGCCCAGCCTCACGTTCATTCCAAGGTACCTACCCGAGTAGCTTTGCTCGTGCCTCACCTCATCTTCCCAGACTTGAGACGCCCACAACTGTGATCTTCTTTGCGGACTGGCAAAAGTCCAACTCAGTGTTGAGATAATGCCCGGCTCTTCTCGGTCGTCCATCCAGCATACGATGTGTGGGGCATGCCCGTCTCCTACCCACCTGCCTAATGTATCTCATGTCAGACGCCCCCGACTCAAATCCCAAGTCCAGGCTCCCACGCGGGGCATATCAACCGAGACTTGCTTCTTCACCATGGTCAGATCAAGCGAGCCGGGCTACCT